TATGATTTCATATTAATATATTATAACTTATAATATATTAATAAATCAGAAATATCCTCTTCTCAAAAGTTCATCCAACAAATTGTTCCGGTGCCATGCAACCCAAATGGACCATGTTACTCTCGGGTCAAGTACATATCAATTATAGATATGGGATTAGACACTAAATCCAATAGATATGACTCTTTATTGACAAATGATTAGGTATTTAATGTATTTAGCAACCAGTCATCCAGATATCATGTTTTATGTTTGGTATTGTGCCAGGTTTTAGGCGAATCCACGAGAACCACGTATGACTGCTGTAAATATTATCTTCCGATACCGAAAATGAACATCCTCTCTCGGAATCTGGTGTCCTTCCAACTTTGGATTCGTTGTGCAAGCGTTCTCTGATGCTAATCTTGGTGGATGTGGTCTTGATAAAAAAAAGTACAACAGGAGGATGTCAGTTCCAAGAAACAAACATGGGTCCCCTTATCCATTGTTGAAGCCAAGTGTATAGCAGCTGCATTTTGAACTTCGCAAATAGTTTGTATTCAAAGTCAACTCCGCGATTATAGGATAAATAAGAAAAGGATTCCTTTATACTGTGATTCTGAAAGTGCTATTCACATTTTACATAACCCAATGCAACACTCAAAAACTACACAAATTGCATTGAGATATCACATAATCAATGATCATGTTGAAAATGGAAATGTTGAAATGCATTTCGTATGATCCTCGGATCAGTTGGACGATATCTTCAAGAAGGCTTACCCTGAAGCAAATTTCAATCATATTTTGCAAGGTCTCGGGATGATATAAGTTGGATCTGTTCCAAAATCTAATTTGTAATCGGGAGTTATTATTTACGCTCAGATTTGAAACGATTCGGATTTCACAGTTCCTCATGGTTTCGGAATATGTGTGTATACTTTTTATATTATGTGTTTCCGATTGATTTCGAGCTTTGGAATGCTTCAGAAGCTACTGTCCATTTGTGTTTTTGAATTTTATTTTCTTAATACTTTTGTTTTTATTTTCTTTTTCAGAAAACACAAAATCTAAAAAAATATTTTCTTAATTTCTTTTTTTATTTTCTTTTTCAGAAAACTCAAAATTTACAAAAATATTTTCATAATTTATGTTTTTAATTCTTTTTAGAAAAGTCCAAAAATTAAAAAAATATATATTTTTCCTTATATTTGTTTGTATTTCTTTTTTCATAAAAATGTCAAAAACTCCAAAAATAGTTCTCTTTATTTATTTAAGTGTTTCTTGGGAAGACGTTTCTGATTTAGGTACAATTTCTTATTGGTGCAATTCAGAATGAATGGGCATGTATGATATTCTGAATCTATATACTAGCTAAGTGTTCCTAGAAGCATGTTACTGTATATTGCCCAAAGCCTCTGACACTCTATGTTGGAATCCTTAATGAATCGATAATATCAATCGTTTCTTCCCAAATAGGCTATAAATTCACATAATTCATTGATCCACATTAATATTCTCACCATGAGTTAATAGTTGACTGCTTAGTCATACGTTTATAGCAGATGTACACCTTCTTCATAACCATCTAACAATTTCTCCATCATATTCGCTTTCATGAAGGTGACCCCGGAGACTCTTAGAATTTACCACTGAGTTTTATGGTTATACAACTTCTGTGTTTATAAACTTAAAATTGTTATCACCACGATTTTAGTGAGACCCAAAATACGAAACCTCTTTCTCAATTGAGGGTGAACAATTAAACTGTTCAAGACTTTCACCATGGAATTAAAGATAACTACATCTTGGTTGGTACCTTATACGGAATAAAATCTCATTTTTGTTTTTGCATGGTATTTATGAAAAGCTCTCGACCAAAGACTTTTCTTCCCTAAAGATACCATTTTACTTTCTTTTTTTAGATTTTCAAAATTTATCTTGTTACCCTAAATATATCCAAAGCATACTTGTTTTTATGTTGAGTTTCAGATTTTGGTTGAATATAAAGCCACTCTTTAAAGCCTAATGAAAAGAAGCCTTTCACTGTTTCTCAAAAAACAGATGATCATAATTCAACGGGATTCCACACAAGCACTTCCGAATCTCTCTTGATTCTGAAGGAAGAGATCGTTGCCCGGGATCAAACTGTTTTTTTGTTGAAATTTAACTGACATAAAAAAATCCCACATATATAAAACTGCTTTATTTCTTTTTCTTTGGCACATTCTTGCACAAAAATCTTTATGATTTTTCTAAGTCTTGTTATGATTTCAATTGATTACTGATTATTCTGAGACAGGTTATGGTGATTCATTCTTGATTCCGAGTGAGAGAACCGACATGGCAATTTCTTTTGGATAAGATTTAAAAAAAGGCACATTAACTTTTTAAATCACTGACATCATGCATGGTCAGTGGTAACACCGCCTGTCAACTACAACTGTCACGTCCATCACATCTACTTTATCGGGATACAGAAATGTCAAGCATTATTTTCTCTCACCTATCATGATGTATAAAAGGGATTTTTTGACGATTTGCTTTCTCTCACCAATATCAAAGAATTCAAACGTTTCTCTCACAATATAACCCTTCTTCTCTCTAAACTATTCATCATCGTCTTCATCAATTTCCATGGCTGCTTAAACAGAGACCACCTCCTTCGACGATCAATCCACCTCCATTATTATGATGAACATCAAACCTGGTCATAATTTAATTCTCGACCTTGATGCCTCCCATTACAATGAACTTCTTCGGCCTATAATCGAGTGTATAACGTATTCTCCACTGGTTCAAGCCCTAACGATGGAGAATAATGACCCTCTAATGCATTTATCTAAAGCCTAATCATCTGCAACTTACAGTAACTGGAAGGGGTTATTCACTTTAAGGTAGCTTCCTATAAAATCTCAATTTCTATGTGTAGATTCTGTAAAATTTTAGGGCTTCCAACCACAGCTGGGTACGTAGACCCAAAGTCGATTTCTATCACTGATCTTTTGGAGATGATCTACTAAATGGGTTACAACAGTGATTCATCTGTCTTGACAATGTTTCGAAAGACCTTTCTTCCACCCATATGGAATGGCTTGTTTACTTTTCAATACAAGGGATTTTTTGAAAGGGTTACTTGAGCCGATGGTGCAAGTTGCCTATTTTACACCTTAATTTATGGACTCTATCACGACATCAATCTTGATATTGGGTCAGTTCTTTGGACTTATTTGATTTAGAGTACAGTCTCTTCTACAAGTCATACTGAAATTTCATGTGATCTCTTTTGGTCGGTTATCGTCAAACGAGTTCTTGATCACTACAAGGTTCCTTTAATGAAGGACTATGTTATGGCAGCCATTCCAATTTTGCAGACTTCCTCTTTTATGATGTCTAATTCGAAAAAAATTCAACTTTGTTGCTACTATCCCCGACGTTATGTTAGCTAGAGGCCCAATGGACAATGCGATTGTGGGTGAATATCGCACACTACCTTCTTCTGGAGCTCGTCAAATCACATAATAATTCCAAAAGATTCTTGAAGAACTGAACAAACAAAAAAGAGGTGGAAAAAGAAAAAGGAAAGCCAGTTCTTCCGAACCTATAGCACCTCTAAAGAAGATAGTTTAGAAGAATGCTTGGAATCCAAGATCTCCGTCTCTAGTTCAAGAGGCTTTAGAATCACGCACTCATTCAAATCTACATGATTGTGTCGTTGTTGAGAATGAAACAAATGATACAGGAGCTACTTACGAACCATTGGTTTCGGAACCTAGTCCAACTACATCTACTCCACATGTATCTTCTCCAATTACTACTACTATGTCTTTTTCGGAGTTTTTTCAGATGTGTTCCCCACTTCCATCTCCTACCAACACTTCATCTCCACCCACTACTTCTTTACCGATCACTATTGCACGCGACTTCTGTTGGAGTCTCGATGTTACAACTCTTACTACCGTTATGTACTCTACTATTTACCAACTGCATTGCCACTACCACTACAACAACTATGAGTCAACCTGAGATAAATATCAACGTATCTAATATGGAGGCAAGAGTCTCTTTCGGTGTTTCTTCTATTCAGGGTACCTCTATGAGTTCTCCATTCTGTGAGGACAATCTAAATGTGATTTTTGGTGATGATTAGGATGATCTTCATGACTTTGTCTTCAGTCCTTTTACATTTCATCATGCGAGTGATGATGATGATGATGGTACAATTTAAAAGGGCAATTTAAGGCATCAAACGAAAAGTTGTATAAGATTTTGGAATCCACCAATTCTTCTTCAAATTCTGAATATCTCCTCTCTTCTCATAACACTTTGATCGAAACATTAACCAAGGAGAATGCACAAACCCTTGTTGATTCTCCCAATGCTGTTGTGAATTTGGAGAAAACCATTAAGAAAACGACCGAAAAAGTCGAAAAACTACTTTCTGATATTCAGAAATTCATGGCAGATTTTCAAACCTCTTCAAATCGCAACACCGAAGCTACAAACAAAGCTGTAGTAGGTCTTGGAACCTCCCTTCAAGTTGAGAAAGATGTTTTATCTAAGTTTCGAGTTGTACTAGAGGTTGATAATGTTGAGATGACTAGTTTGATTGTATCCAAGATTGAGAAGCTACAAGTATATCTTGCTATTGAGAACAAAATCATTGATCAACTATTTCAGAAAACCAAAAAAGTCAAGGTTCTATCCACCAACCTTAACTATACCAATCATTGACTCCATGATTTTGAAAATGAAGGGGTGATTGTCAAAAAGTTGCATTTGTTGAATCTCATGATTCTATCCTCACGGTTTCGGTTCGCCAACACCTCACAGATAAACTGCAACCTGTTTTTGTGATTTTGAATCAAATTGAAGGTGTTTTGGGAAGTAGTGCTCTTCTGAAACAAGGGGGAGAACAATCTGATAAAGGCAAATCTCATCCAGAAGAACCTGCAATGAAACCAAGTGATGAATGTATTGAAGGGAAACCGAAAGCTGACTAGAAGGTTAATGAAACTTCTATGTCAAAGGGTAAAGAAAAGGTGTTTGATGATGATGATGAGGAAGAATTAATCTCAGAAGGAGAAAAGTTAGTTAGAAAGAAAAGACATAAGGAGCTCGATGATCTGTTGCAAATCACAAAGGATTTAGATGAAAAAGAAGCTAAACAGCAAGTTATGAAAGTAACTCTTGAAGCTAAAGCGTTAATATTTCATCCATGTTCGTTTGACAGAATTCGAAAGGCAGAAATACATGATCCAAGTATTTGCTGGTTGGATCCTACAGTATCTTTTGATATAGATAACACTGCAGATTCACAATTAGATTTTCCTATCGCTCCGAGCGCTTTTTTATTCAGATGCTTTAAAAGGATTGAGAAAGTACCACTCTCAGATTATGATGTCAATCACTCGTTGTTCTTGTCACAACTGGCAATTTAGCTTGGAAATTTTGTGATCATGTAAACGTCATCTATGATAATATTTGTAACTCTAAGTTGATATCATGCACTATGTTTATTTTATGACAACAAACTTAGACAAGATCCACAATTGAAGTTGAAAACTATATGCAAAATATTTCAGAAAAGTCAATTGGGAGTTGAAAACCCTACACAAATCTCGGTTCAAGTTCTCTATGGACTAGGATTTTCTTATTGGGCCTAACGGACCAATAAGCATTCAATTCGACTATTTTTGGCTTAGAAACCCTGTTTGTATTCTAAATGGACGCCATTCCTAAATCTATAACATTTTGGACCATTTGGGCCTAGATTGATTCACTCTAACCCTAATGGGCCTTATTGGGCCATAAATGAGTTAATTAACCCTAATGGGCCATAAACCCATTCCTTTATTCCATATTCGTTTGTGAAACACCTTAAGAACCCAATGGGCCGAAAAGATATTATTATGCTTCATACATTTCAACAATTAAAGTAAAGGCCCAAATTCTCTCTTTTCCTTTCTCCTAGCCGAATTCTCGGCCCATGTGTAAAAAAAATAGACACTATCTTGTGGTGCCACCTCAAGATTGCATGGTGGTCTTCCATGCTAAATATCCTCCAAGTATAATCCAATATCATGCATCAATGCTCCATCACATCAATCCTCTTTCCTATCCTTCTCTCTTTTCTTCCTCTCGGCCAAACCACTCTCCTCACCACCTCATTTCTTTCAGAAATCTCATAAGGAACTCTTTGTAGAAAACCTTCTTCCTCCTCTAATTTTTCTATGATCTAGAGTGCTCTCAAAAAGATTTCCACAAAAAATCATCATTCCTTGTTAAGTCCCTACATATCAAAGTTATATTACTTCATTCTTATGCTTGGTCACTCCTTCTAAAAATTTCTTAGTAATCAGTCTCTAATAAATCCCAAAAGCTCGAGATCTACTCAAGAAAGTGTAACAGCCCGGATTTCCAGGTATCTTAAATTCAAATTTTTGGTATTTTGTGAGGGGACTCGGCGAGTTGGAGGTCGAACTCGCCGAGTCGGGTCGCAGTTTTGGACGAAGGTTCGCGTCTCGACTCGGCGAGTCCAAGGGATGGACTCGGCGAGTCCGCGCTGTTTAATGAAACCCTAATTTTCCGGTCCTAAGCCCTATTTAAAGGACCTTATGGACCTTCATTGCGGCCACCTTGAGCCTTGAGTGCACCAAAGCAGCTGCGAGTCCTTATGAGTGAGATAAGAGGCTATTTGTTCACCAATTTGTGTGTTATTGCAAGAAAGGAAGGAGAAGATCAAGCTAGAAGAGTTGGGGAGCTTGGATTTGCTTCTATTTCATCAAGGGAAGCTTCTTGAGGTAACTTTCAGAGCTAATCTTCGTGTTTTGGTTGATATGTCAAATATAGGGTTTCTTCATGCCTTATTAAACTTGTATTTGAAGTGTGAAAGGTCCCATGGAGATATGGAACCTAGATCTGGACCTTAGCAGGTCCAGAAGGCCCCAAATGATATGCTTTATGTCCATTCTTTTGAGTTGGAGACTAGCATTGCCATATTAGAGGTTATTTCCCCAAAAAGAGCCTTGTAAGTGTTGCATGGCGGCCAAGACTCAGACTTTACGTGATAAATGAGCTTGGGAAGGCCAGATCTATGTGTGTATGGAACGAATCTGACCGCAGAATCAAGTTTTAGCTGATGCATGGCATGGACTCGCCGAGTCTAAAGAACAGACTCGACGAGTAGCTTGAAAATTATCCTTAAAACCACCCAGTGAGTTGTCCTGCCGAGTTATGGGTGACTTAGTGAGTCACAGAGAGTTAGAGAGGGATTAACAGGTGGACCGAGTCGAGTTGGGACTCGCCAAGTTGTCCTTGCGACTCGGCAAGTTGAGTCGCGGTGGCCCCGTGATTCGTGACCAGGTGGAACCCGTCGAGTCAGGGGAGTACTTGACGTGTCAAGGGGAAATCCTTGAGAGTTGGTGAGAACGCGTAGACTCGCTGAGTCGCTCTAGTGCACTCGCCGAGTCCGGCCAAATTGACCATTGACTGTTGACAAGACTTGACCAGTGTGGACTTGATAGGGATGGTCAACCTTAGTGGTACAAGTATTAATTATAGATATATGATGTTATAGGAGGATTATAGCTCGGGGGTTCGATCACGAGTGATTTCCAGGGTTCGCGAGTTATCGAGATATACGAGGTGAGTCTTCTCACTATAGTGTACCCGGAAGGGTTTGATTGTGTGACCGGAAGGTCGGATATGCTATGAGATATATGTGTCATGTGTGATAAGTTATTCGTTATATGTGCCATGTATGATATGCTTGATATGGGCCGGAAGGAATTATGCTATGGGCCGGAAGGCGTTGTAAAATGGACTGTAAGGTTGTCGTGGGTAGGACCGGAAGGTTTACCCAGACGGGACGGAAGTCCCCTGAGACACATGGACCGAAAGGTCAGGGCCTGGAAAGGCTTATGTGTGTAGGTTGTATTTTGGGGAAACTCACTAAGCATTTATGCTTACAGTTGTTGTGTTATGTGTTTCAGGTACTAGCGAGGACCGTGGGAAGGCGCCGGCATGATCGTACACACACTCGGGGAAAACTATTTTGTGATCTTTGTTATGTAATCGGTCGTGACAATATTGTTTACATTGGAACTTCAATTTTTACTCGATGTTTTGATGTTGTAAAAATGAAAAAAAAAAAATTGGTTTAAAATTTACGTCGTTACAAGTTGGTATCAGAGCCTTGGTTTGAGGGATTCGGGTACACCTTCGGGCGTAACTGAACTCAAACTGGGGATTTGAGAAAATTTTAATTAATAAATAAATAAAATTTGATAAGTGATTTTGAAACAACCAAAGAAGAAGGAGTGTGTACGGTCAGCCAGCGCCCGAACGGTAAAATCCCCAAAATACTCTTACAATATGTGTTATGAGATATGATATGATATGATATGATACGCATGCTAGTAGACTAGGTATTCATATTAGGACTAGAGTGGCCTGATTTTGTGATGCCTTAGTCTAGGGAAACCTGCTTCTATGAGGTGCTTGAGAGTGAGAGTGTATGTAGTGCATGGCAAGAATATAGTACTCAGGATTCGGGGCTTGGGGAGGAGGACTTGGGGTGAATACTGATGTGGTGTAGTTGGTAGTATTAGGCCCGTACTACTAAAGACACCGGGTCAGTGGGCAACCCAAGTAAGAATCCATGGGTATCGGAGACTGCGTAGGACTGCGTTATCGAGTGCGATTATGCCGATAGAGTCTCTGATATTTTTATGTTGTATTTCAGAGACATCATGGTTGGACCACGCCACATACCTGGTACGAGTAGTGTGACTGACGAGGAGCTTCGTCAGATGATTCATGAGGAGGTAGCTGCAGCGATCCGGGCTGAGATTCCGGAGATGTTTGGGTCTATTAAGACCACGCTGATGGAGACATTTGATGAGCGGTACGCCGCGTTGACTGAGGCCGCCGCCGCTGCAGCTACCGCAGCTGTGGCCGCTGCTAGACCACAGGGAGGTGACTCGTTGCTGTTCCGGGAGTTCAGCAACACGAAGCCACCTGAGTTTGACGGGACGCAGGATCCGATCGCTGCGATGAGATGGATTGCTGATATCGAGGGATGCTTCTACACTTGTTCATGTCCGGAGCATCTGAGGGTACGGTTCGCCTTGAACCAGCTCCGTCTGGGAGCAAAGGATTGGTGGAAGTTCGTGACGGCGAACTTCACTCTGGCAGAGGTTTCAGCTGTAACTTGGGAGAGGTTTACTACTATGTTCAGAGACGAGTACGTTCCCCAGGTGGAGAGGGAACGGTTGGTTCAGGAGTTCTTGACCCTCAAGCAGGGTAATGATTCTGTCACGGTGATCACGCGGAAGTTTCATGAGAGGGCGATGTTCTGCCCCGAGCAGGTGTCCACGGAGCAGGCTCGGATGAGTCGGTATTTGGGAGTGCTGAGGAGGGATATCCGGGAGTTCGTATCGAACTCGTCATATCAGACTTTTGATGAGCTTCAGGCGAATGCCAGGAAGTGTGAGATCGAGTTGGAGACCCAGGCCAGGGAGGAGGCCGAGTCTCAACGGGTGGATCGACGTCCGGCTCAGTCTCAGCCGGCAGCCAAGCGGACCAAGTCCGCCGATTCGAGATCGGGAGGTCAGAAGGGCCGCACTTGCGGAAAGTGCGGCAAGGGTCACGAGGGGGCATGTCGATCGGGTGCTTGCTACAAGTGTGGCAAGGAGGGGCACATTGCTAGGGATTGCCCCAAGGGATTCATGGTTTGCTTTCATTGCAACCAGACCGGCCATCGGAAGGCCGAGTGCCCCCAGCTTCGCCAGGGATCTACACCTGCTGCCAGGGTTACCGAGATTCGGCCAGTGAAGGCCGAGGCTCCGAAGGCTCGTGGGAGAGCTTTCCAGTTGACTGCGGAGGAGGTCCGCGCGGCGCCTGATGTCGTAGCCGGTATGTATTCTTTCATGTATTTACCTTTATACTGAGATATTGTGCTTATATTATGATATGCGTAGGTACTTTTCTTGTGAATTACGTGCCTGCTTTGGTATTATTTGACTCGGGTGCGAGTCGGTCTTTTGTTTCGTTGGCTTTTAGCCAGCACATCGGTATTGATCGGGAGGATGAGTCGAACCCTGCGAGTTGCTATAGAAAATTAGAAAGCGGTATATGCCACTGAGGTGATTCGAGGATGCGTGCTCGAGATTTTTGGGGTCGAGTTCCCTATAGACTTGGTTCCTATAGCTATGGGGGATGTCTGCGTTATCGTGGGCATGGACTGGTTGAGTAAGTTTGGAGCAGTCATTGACTGCGAGAGACATGGTGACGATTCGAGACCCTAGTGGGGAGT